CGTAATAACGGCAGAGCTAAACCGCGATCGATTAACGTAGCCTTCTACAACGCGAACGGGTTAAAAGAACAGCACGACGAAATACGTATTTTCTTACGCGACCACCAAATCGATATACTTCTTATTCAGGAGACGCTCCTGAAAGCCGCGACAAGGGATCCGAACATCCCCAATTATCGAATAGTTAGGAACGATCGTGTCGGCGCCCCGGGCGGCGGCACACTTATTTACTATAAAAAATCTCTCCACTGCGTACCGGTAGACACGCCCGCGCTCACGCATCTCGAGGCCTCCGTCTGTCAGCTGGCTTTAACCGGCCACTCTCCTATCACCATAGCATCAGTTTACCTCCCTTGTAGACCAACCGCATTAATATTGCAATCAGATTTTGAGGCCCTCTTCTCCATAGGAGGAGCCACCATCCTAGCTGGCGACTTCAACAGCAAGCACACCCGATGGAACTCGACACGTACCAACAGTCGAGGCACCGCACTCGACTCGCTATCCGACAGGCTCGACTTTGAAGTCGCTGCCCCCGTCGAACATACGCGCTTTCCATACGTAGAGGGACACACATCGGATGTGCTTGACATTGCACTCATTAAAAACATCAGTCTCTCCTTATGCGAACCGGAAGTGATACACGAGCTTCACTCCGATCACCGACCAGTTCTCCTCCGGCTAGGGCCTTCAGCAACAGCCGCTCCCTTAACCAAAACCGTCATCAGCTGGCATAAAATTAGATCTAAATTTAACGAACCTAATCCTCCACAACTAGATTCAATCCCTAGAGAATTAAATACCAAACAGGACACGGAAACCGCAATTCGAGCCCTCACAAGCCACGTCAACACCGTCGTCGAGCAATGCTCGAGACAGGTTCCAGCGATGGAAGACCATCGCTGGGCCCTGCCAGACGATGTGCGAGACTTGCTGAGACGCAAGAATGCGGCTACCCGAGCCTATGATAGATATCCCACCGACTCGAATCGTAGACTGCTACGTAAATTGCAGCGTGAGGTCAAAACACGCATAGCAGACTCACGAAACGAACGTTGGGATTCCACCCTAGCTTCAGTAAAACCATCCCATGTAGCCTTCTGGAAACTTCCCAAATCCCTCAAGGGTAACGGCATAACAACCATGCCGCCACTAGTCCGTCCGATAGGTACGCCAGCAATGCTGGACGAAGAGAAGGCCGAATGCCTGGCTGACAGCCTAGAGTCTCAATGCTCCCCCAGTCTGCTTCCGATCGACCCCGAACACCTCCGCAAGGTGAACGAAGAGGTAGAAAGGAAAGCCTTAGAGCCACTCCGCGATCCCGTTCCCCCAGTCACGTGCTCCGAATTAATAGACACCATCAATAAACTACGCCCGCGTAAAGCACCAGGCTCAGATGGTATCACCAATAAGGTGACCAAGCTCCTCCCTACTAGCATCCTTCAGATACTAGTATTAATTTACAACGCGGCCTTAACCGAAGGCTTCTTCCCATCCGAGTGGAAGGAAGCCGATGTCATAGGGTTCCTCAAACCCTCTAAACCCGCCACTCTCCCAACCTCATATCGTCCAATAAGTCTTCTCAAAACATTTGGGAAGATCTTTGAAAGACTAATTTTAGCCCGCTTAAGATCCCTTATGGACACCAAAGGGCTCCCCATCCCAGAGCAGTTTGGATTTAGAGCCAAACACTCATGCACCCATCAAGTGCACCGCATCACGGAGCACATTTTAACTAAACGCCAACGTGGACTCAACACCGGTGCGCTCTTCCTGGACGTGGCAAAAGCGTTCGACAAAGTCTGGCACAACGGGCTCGTATACAAGCTATACGGGTACGGAGTGTCCGACCGTCTCGTATGCATAATACGAGACTTCCTAAGTGATCGAACCTTTCGCTATCGCGTCGAGGGCGTGTGTTCGACTACGCATCCCGTTCGAGCCGGGGTGCCCCAAGGGTCGGTGTTGGGACCAGTCTTGTTCACTCTCTACACCAATGATGACATGCCGCGTGTCAAAGATGTAGAACTTGCTCTTTTTGCCGACGACACCTGTATTTATACCACAGGCAGAACACCCGAATTGATCCATCGACGCCTCCAAGCTGCGGCCATCACCATCGGTGACTGGTTTCGGCAATGGAGGATCGAAATCAATCCCGCTAAAAGCGCGGCAGTCCTTTTCGCGCACAAAAAGAACGTACCCATTCCTCCCCCCGTTAAACTCTTGGACAGCCCAGTACCATGGGTTAATAAAGTCAAATATCTAGGCGTCGTCCTCGACTCCCAGCTTAAATTCACCCAGCACGTGACCCAGGTCAGGAACCGGGCGGCCTTCGTACTCGGTCGCCTCTACCCGCTCCTCAATAAAACGTCAAAAATGTCCCTTCGGAACAAGGTGACCTTATATAAGGCAGTAGTTCGCCCTATCATGACGTACGCGAGTCCCGTCTTCGCTCACATTGCTCCGAAGCAAATACACCGGCTTCAGGTGATTCAAAATCGATTCTTGCGCAGAGCCACGGGAGCACCCTGGTTCATGCGCAATATCGACCTACATGTCGACCTAGAATTGCCCACCATCGCGCAATTCCTGAAGTCGGCGTCGCGCCGATATTTCGATTCCGCCGCCGCGCATCCCAACCCACTTATCGTAGGTGCCGTCACCTACAGGCCCTTGCCGCTAAACATTTTCCGCCGCGATTACCGAAGACCGCGTCACGTTCTCGACTTCCCTGACGATGAGACGACTATCGCCATCGAAAGGATCAAAAAACTCAAGAAACACACACAGCCGAGGTCCGGCCCTCTCGGGCACCCTCGAATCGGAATGCTAAACGCGTGCTGAGTGACAGTCCAAGCCGAGGTCCCCTCTCGGGGACCCTTGAGCCTGATCACTCCATGGAGCGCCCGCCAAAGCGCCCTAAGAGCTTGGCGGCCTCCCAAACCGGTAACAATAATAGCGTGACGGCCCGAGCCGAGGCTCCCCCCGGGAGCCCTCGAGCTTAGTCACCATATAATAATAGTACGCCGAGGTTCAGGCTAGGCGCCTCGTGCGCCAGGCCACCTCAAGTCCGTCGGATCTGTGAAGGCCCCTAAGGCCAACAGTGGCTCATCCAGCCAAAAAAAAAAAAAAAAAAAAAAAAAAAAAAAAAAAAAAAAAAAAAAAAAAAAAAAAAAAAAAAAGCTTTACTTTAGTCATTCTATAATAGAAATCATAGACAAAACAAAATTTTGACGTCCTTTTTGAGTGTGCTCCTGATATGGGACAGTGAATCGACCAGTGAATCGGAGCTCTGAACACAGTTGAAAGTGGAAGAAAAGGACAGCATTAAATATATCAATGTGCTCTTTTTGGATTAAAGACATGAGACCTTGAATTTTTTGCACTTATCGTACAAAGCAATATAACGCCTCCAAATCCGCAGACATTGTTATACCCGATAAGTAGCACTGAATTCTATGGTTATTCACCCCAACATCAAATACGGGAAGCTTACAATCTTTATACCGCAACGGAACGCAACGCAACGCAAATTTTAATGCAATTTTGAATTAAAAACACTTATATATATTATAGTTATTTATAGAACAACTTGACGTCCTCACATGTATTTGTTGTGCAATGTTCCTTGATGTGCAGGAAGGCTGGGCGGTTTAATATTACCACGAGCTCACGAAAAGCTATCGTACAATAAGAGACCATCGTACTTAACTCTTTTTAAGTTCAGTTACTTTTGACAATTTAACATAAATGAAGAGAATATAGGGCGGCCTTTTTGCTAATATCGCTTCTCTCACGAAAAAGGCCTAGTGTGTATGTTTTTAATTCCCTTCCTATATGCCAGCGAGCGGTGGGCCTTCGTGAAAAGAGAAAAAAGGAAGGGATGTGTCCTAGTAGTCTCGGTGGGGTCGTAAAAATTCACGTCACGTCGCGTCCCGTGCTCCGTGTGGGCCTGTCACGTGTACCTCGCCGCGTTTAAAGCCCGCCCTTAGTTTGTCTTAGGGCCCCACGACATTAAGCTCGGACTAAATCGACGGGAAAGCACTTTTGCGCTATTGGAAACGGTGTAAATAGTCCGACGTACATCCCTATATTTCGGGTAGGCCGGTGCGAATCGCGTAATGAATACTGAACGGTACTGTCTCCCTTCGTAATTGGCAACAAATATGTTTAGTGTGTAGATTTTTTTGCGTCATACAAAGGCTTGCCTGATCATCGACGAATTAGGGAGTTGCTTAATAACTGCCGAATTGAAATGATGCAACTATTATAGACATTTGTGTACTTTTTACTGTACATAATTTATATATTTATTGTATATGCATAATAAAAGCGTTTTCGTTGGATGATTAATTTAATCGTGAATTGTAAAGTTACGAGTATGTTTACAACACAACCCCAGAGCTACGCAGAAGCGGTCTTTAAATCATATTCGTTATAGTTAGATTGCCGTCTAACGTTCCCCTATCACCGAAACGTAAAAGGTGTTAAAGAAAGTATTGTTTTTTTTTTTTTTTTTTTATGTGAAAAGTTGCCAAGCGAGCAGACGGTTCACCTGATGTTAGGTAAATACGGCCACCCATAGACATCTGCTACACCCGAGGGTTCCAGATGCGTTGACAACCTTTTGAAAATTGGGCTCCGGCCACCTCACTCACCAGACGAAACGCGAAAGTATTATACTTCCACTTTACGCCGGTCTTCTGTGAGGTCGTGGTGCTTACCCGGACGAGCCAGCCCATTCGGTCAACAGCCGAGGCTGCTGCGTGGCCCTACCACCGTAAAAATATAACAGCCATTTAATATAACAGCCATTACGTCATACGATATTCGAAAAAGAAACTGTTTCTTCGGCGCCGGTAAATATCGTTTCAAATTAAATGAGACTTACACATAGCGCGCGTGACGCAACAAAGCGGATAAATGGCGCGGGCCCCCCCCCCATTTGGACCCTCGAAACGCCTCGTAAACGGGGAACGGCACACGAGCGCTTTTTACGCGACTAGTACATTAAACCGCATATTTGCGTCGGCCGCTATAAAAACTCCGCCGCCGCCGGAATTGCGAACGCTCGTCCGGAAAAATCTGGACACGAGCACCGAAAATTGGACCACGGCGAGAGCTTGTGCTCGAATAAGACATAAGACATAAGACATTTAATCCGTCACTTAATCTGTTTACAATTATGTTACATTTAGTTACAGATTAAAATTAAAAAAAAAACGACAAAATAATGAATAAACAAAAAGTGAAAGTAAAACAAAAATAAATGGTATTTATAAATTTTAAAGTAGTGACGGAACGGACCGCCTCAGCATATGCCGCGCAAGATTGCGGCGGCGCTGATTTTCAGTCGGCCCAGGCGTCCGTAGGCAACGGACGCGTCACAGCAAGCAAGTAGTAATATTTTTCTTTATTACATTAGGTATATAGTGTGTTAAAGTCTATACAAAAAGTAAGCATAATACATATACGTACATTATATTGATTAATATATATGTTATATATGCGAAATATATTTATGTAGTGTAAATTTATAAATACAAATACAAAGACATTTATTACAGTTATATATGATATTATAACTCATTTTATTTATTGATTTAGCCTGTACAAATAGGTTAAAATTGAATGAGTATTATTTAGTATTATTTAGCAGCTACCCTTCTGTTCGTTTATTAAAAAAATTTTTAGGTTACTTTTAAATTTGCCTAATGTTTCTAGATCACGAATCGGTGGCGGAAGGTTATTCCAACAGTGGGTAGCTGCGTATTTAAAACTTCCTCTGAAAGCTGCCGAACTATGCCTAGGAACACTTGCTTTATAAGAGGAGGCTCGAGTGATATATTTATTGTGTTCCCGACACCATTCTAGTTTGCTATAAAGATATTTAGGTTTTTTTGTTGTGATAACCCCAAAAAGAGCACAAGCAAAGTGGAGCTTGCGTCTGGCCACCATTCGAAGCATACTATTTTTATTGAGAAATGGGCTTACATGTCCTCTAGGCGGCACATCAAAACAAAACCTGGCACAAGCAATTTGTACGCGCTGAATAAGACGTGCGGTTCGGGTCAACAAGCACGGCCCATATACAATGTCAGCATAATTAAATTTCGATAATATGAGTGTATCTATCAATTTCTTACGCGATACTCAAGTACTCACGCATTTTATATAAAATCTTAAGACGGTAAAAACAGTTTCTGACAACACCTGCAATATAGTCTTCAAATCTTAAATCGGAGCTGACTAAAACTCCCAAATAACGTACCTTTTCCACCCTTTCCAAGGGCGTTCCCTTAATATATACTTTGGGGTTGTAGTTGTTTATTTTTTCTATTTGTTTTTTAGTTCCTAAAATCATATACTTAGTTTTTAACGGATTCAACACTAAAGAATTTTTTTCTGACCATGTAACTATTTTATCTAAGTCATCATTTAGTTTTTGAATAGCGTTTGTACTATGAATAGGTTCGAAGATGGTATAAATCTGTGTATCGTCTGCGTAAATGTGATATTTACAATGCTTTAAGCAATTGCCAATGTCCGAAGTATATAAAAAAAATAACACTGGTCCCAAAACTGATCCTTGTGGAACACCTCTGGTAATCTGCTGCGGAGATGACACACAGTTTTGACCATTTTCTTTAGAAATTAATATTTGTTGAGAGCGTCCTGTAAGGTAGCTATCAAACCATTTAATAGTATTCGGGTCAAACCCGTAAAAAGCCATTTTGGATAGAAGTAGTGTGATATCGATTGTGTCGAATGCTCTGGAATAATCTAATAGGACAAGGACTTTTCCTTGTCCTGTATCTTAAGCTTCCAATATGTTACCTATTACATCAGAAAGCGCAGTAGCTGTACTTCTTCCCTTCCTGAAGCCTGATTGAAACTCAGGTAAAATAGAATTTTCTTCAAGATATGTCGTTAATTGTTGACAAACTACTTTCTCGAGTATTTTAGATAAACAAGGTAATAAACTTATAGGTCTTAGATCTTTGACGCTTTCTGGGTTCATATTTTTAGGTAGAGGACGTATTAGAGCCCTCTTCCAGATATTGGGGACAGTATTCGTAATAGTTGAACAGTTAATTATGGATGTAATAGCATCTAAACTATGTGGAAGTGTCCTCAGAATCATTTTACTCGATATTCCATCTACTCCTAATGCATTAGATTTTAAATTTGTAATTATTTTCAAAATGGCGTCCTGACTAACTGGTCGAAGACAGAAATTGCTAGAGTTAAATCTATTGAACTCAAATTAAGTCAGATCAGATAAGTTTATGTTACAAGATCCCGGTATGTTTAAAAAGTGAGCATTTATTAAGTCTGGATCCATTAATTGTGGTGGCAATTCAGTACAATTTTTTGGGGGCAATGAGTATGCCTTTAGATTTGACCACATTTTTTTTGGGTTATCAATATTGTTGTTAATAAAATTATTGTAGTAAGCCTTCCTTTCATAGTACAGAGCAATATTCACTTGGTGTTTCATTTGCTTATAGTAATCTCTATGATGTGGTAACTGTGAACATCGATATTTATTGCGAGCCTCATTCCGTAAACTCATCATAAATTTTACATTTTCAGTTATCCATGGATAAGGGCGATCCCTGAATATAACTGATTTATACGGAGCATGCAGGTCAAACAAGCTTATAACATAAGAATTTAACATTTCTGTCATTTGATTTACGTTTTCCATTGAAATTATATTGGTCCATGGAACTAGCTGGAGATCACGCTCAAAGTAATCAATCAAAATGTCATTCAGAGGACGATATACTACTCTTCGAGGTGGTATCTTGTCCTTTTTAATATATATCTCGCACGAAAGGGAGGCATGACTACTCAAATCACTTATATAGCTAACCATAACATTTCGCGTCGGTGCATCGGTACATATAATATCTATAAGTGTTTGACTGGTTTCTGTGAAATGAGTTGGAGTATCAATTATTTGTTTAATATCAATATAAGTCATAAATTCGAATAAACGTTTTGTCTTAAGATTATTTGTATTAAGTAGATTAATATTGAAATCTCCTAATAAAACAATATAATCATACGTAAAAGTACTAATACTGTCAGGAATTGCATCCAAAAATATGTCGATGTTAGGCCATGGAGGTCTGTAAGCCGTTCCAATAATAATTTTTTTTGTAACAATTTGTAAGCTCATCCACATTTCCTCTACAGAATTGTGGTGCGGATTAGTTATTATACGTACATTTATCCCCCTTTTGACATAAAACCCTACGCCTCCTCCACGGCCAGCACGCACAGAGAGTGGACGTGGCACATGCCATAGCCGATACCCAGGCACGCGTGGGGCTCGCCCCTCTTCGCCCACACGGAGCCACGTCTCGTTTATTGCCATAAGATCAACTTCATGTCGGCTCATTGCGACCTAAAACTCCTCGTGTTTAGTACCGAGTGAACCCGCATTTAGGAAACCAACTTTCAAATAGTTCGATTTATTCATTGCTGTCTGATATATAGGTAATAAATAGTGTGTGCATAATATGCACATACGTGGTCCTAATGGAAACATATACATACTTTAAATTGTAAACATAATTTTATGAATAAGTAGTATATTTCAGAATGAATATATAAGGAATTAATATTATTGAGACTTATATATATGTATTTACTTTGTACAAAAAATATAATGTCAATAAGTACATAAATTCTATTCACCATTGTAAAATTATACAGATATTTTGTTAAATTGTATTTATTATTATAGGATATTAAGGTTAATTCTTTCCGGAATATAAAATAATTCACATATAAATTATAAAGATAAAAATAAACGTGTTTATAAAGTAATACATTACTACAATTGTGTTTGTGTGAGTGGAGTAAAAAACATAACGAACTCTGTGCTTGCTGTGATAGTTAAATTAACTTGCGATTACGCACGGTATGATTACCTTTGCAACACACACAAATGTCTACGAGACGACGAAAGTTACACTTAAAAATTACATACAAGACCGTGTATACTGAATCACATGAACAAAAATAGTCTGTATTAAAAATTAATAATAAACTCTTTGACAACCAATATATTAAATACTTATAATTACTTTTTTGTTTAGTAATATGTATAAACTTATTGTACGCTATTATTAACATTGAAACTGATTTACATAAGAGTAAAACTATTATTTTAAAAAACCTTAATACGCTATCTGTTAGAAAAAAACTAGAGCAATATAAGTATAAAATCGAAAGAGGTATATTCAAATTAACAGCTAACTTATAATTAACAAAAAAACACGATTAAGGTCTGTTTCGGACCGAATTCGAGTTACATGCTTTCCATCTTCCTTTCTTACAAATATTTGCCCGCCCTTCGTCCAAGCATAGCGCCAGTTTGCTTTTTTCGCTGCCTCCCGAGTTTTACCGAATAGTTTTCTGTTCAAAGGTGTCAACCTCTCGTTCACATAAAATCGACGCGGCTCACCGGGTAACCCCAGGGACTCAGTGGTTAAGGTGCGCCGCACACGGGCCGAACGTATAAATTCATCTCGTAGCGCACGCCGGCTCATCCGCACCACAATTCTACGTGGTCCCACAGGAACTCCTTCTTGAGAGCTGTTAATAGCTTTGCGTAAGTTACCGACGCGCTCGGCATGGACCATTTTACGCTGATCAACATCAAGACCTAACTTTTTAGCGCATAACAAAACAGTGTTAATTGCATTTTCACCCTTTTGTTCCGGTATTCCCGATATTTCGAAGTCATTGGCTAATAGGTCTTGATCCCTCTCGTTTAGTTGGATCCTTAATTCACCAATTGTCTCTTCGAGCTCCTTGAACTCGCACTTATGCACCTGTTCTTCCATTCGATTCTCCAACTTGGTGACCCTGGTATCGATTTCCTCTAAATTTTTACTGCACGCGAGGATTGTGTCCCTTAATATGGAGACATTGTCTCTTACCTCCTTTAGTTCATTGCGCATCGCACCGAGTTCATTTCGAAACAGTCGTATTTCCAAGTCTATATCAATATCTTTGATAATATAATATAATAATTAATAATAATAATATCTATATAATAGACTACTGTCCCCGACACCCTGACACTTTACCGGTGTATTGGAGTTGTCTCCAGCACGAGGAACTTTGCTTTTACAAGCTGGACACATCCACGCAGTTGATATTTTTGCCTTTTCCGATAGGTTAAGACAACCTCGATGATATGTGAGGTCACATTTGCCACAGGTGACGCCATCTGTCGCCGACAGGTAACGGCCGCAAGCTCCACACTTTGCCATTTTAATGTAGTTATTAATAAAAACTAATCAATGCAACTAGTAGCCAATAGATGGCGCAAATCGAATATCCTCAAAGTGTGAAAAGTTAAACCGTTACAAGTTTATCTTTTTAGTGTTTATAAGTAAATTAACGCTTAGACACGACGCGAAGTATACACTTTCACTTAGATGTTTTATTAAAATTGTAATCATGTACAATATAGTATTGAAAGTTCGGGCAAATTAATGTCTTTGTTTATCACAAAACTAATTAAAGGGTACTTTTACACCGATTGTTACCTTATTTACACTTTTATATGAATGTTTACTTCGATTTCACTGCACTAATATTCAGTCACTCTTATGATTGTTTTATTTATGCACATATAACACTTTTGTAACTTTATAAGATATATTTATACTGATGATCTTCAGCTATACTCACAATCGCTCACTGGTGACATTCATACCGCAATTTCTCGTGTTAATGGTGATCTGAGTCGTATCTCAAGCTGGTCCAAGCGCTTCGGAATAACTGTAAATCCCAAGCAATTGTCATTGGTAGCCGTCGACTACTCTCACGACTTGACATGTCTAATTTACCACCTGTCCAGTATGAGGATTGCGTTGTTCCTTTCTGTGGTAGAGTTAATGATTTAGGTTTAATTATTGACCCATCTATTACCTGGTTACTACATATCACTGAGATCTGTCGCAGGGTAACAGGCATACTTCGTTCCATATATCGTTCCATATATCGCCTTAAAGCCTTTTTGCCTTCCTCTACTAAGGTCCTTCTTTTCAGTCCCTTATTTTTCCATTATTTGACTATGCTGATGTCTGTCTTACTAATATTTCCCAAGAGTTGCTGAACAAGTTGGAGAGATTACTGAATAATTGCATACGATTTGTTTTTGGGCTGCGCAAATATGACCACGTGTCACACTTCCGTAACCAACTAAAGTAGTTGACGATACGCCAGCGCAAAGACTTTCGTATCCTTTCTACTCTGTTTTCAATCCTTTTTGACCCCTCCTCACCTTCCTATCTAAAAGAAAGATTTCAGTTCCTCGGGGACTCGCATTCCCTCAATCTTCGCTCTTCTCAAAATTCGTTACTGTCTGTACCCTCTCATCACTCCGGTTTCATGTCAAATTCTTTCACTGTCACTTCAATCTTACTTTGGAACAGGTTGCCTGTTGACCTGCGACAATCGCCAACAAAAAATATTTTTAAAAGAAAACTGTTTGAGCATATCCTTGCTGAGTCTTAGCTACTTAATAGTACTTACTATGTATGAACATCTGAAATATATTTATGTGTATATGTATGTATATGTATGTATGTATATTTATATATATTTTTGTATGTATGTATATATATTTATATATATATATATATATATGTTTACGTTGGCAGTTTTTAGATTTATTACCTAATTATTACATATTATTTATTTAATTATGTATCGTATATAACTACTTTACTGCCCTTGACATTTTGTTTCTGTTCTACCTAGGGTTAGCTGGTAGAGAATGCAATATAGCATTAAGCTCGCCTTTGTACAATTTTCTGTGCAATAAAGATTAAATAAATAAATAAATAAATATATCTAATTAAATACGATTAATTTAGAGCACAGTACTACTCGCTGTCAACAGTACCGTCAAACTCTCGAATCGAATGGTCAGGCTCAAATGTCGTAGCGTTATGTACCTTAGTGGACGTTGAGACTTTTCTTTACAGTACACACGTTTTACTAGGACCGGGATAATATTAAACGACACTGACCAGACGGCACGCAGAAGTATAACACTTCCACTCATCAGGTCAAGGTACTTATCCGGACGGACCTGGACATACGTGCAACAGCGAAGACTGTTGCGGGGCCCTACCATAGTTAGAGGCGTGCATTGTTTTTTTATTGTTGCCATGAAGATATTTTTAGAAGCGACTGTCACTTTTTTATGTGAAAAGTTGACAGGCAAGCAGACGGTTCACCTGGTGTTAAGTGAACACCGCCGCCCATGGACATCTGCTGCACCCGAGCGTTCCAGATACGTTGACAACCTTTTGAAAATGGGCTCCGACCACCTCACTCACCAGACGAAACGCGAAAGTATTATACTTTGACTTTACGCTGGTCTTCACAGAAGACACGTGTTACTTACCCGGACGAGCCTGCCCATTCGTGCAACAGCCGAGGCTGCTGCGTGGCTCTACCACCGTGCCACATGGCTTGTTCATCGCATCCAGTTGCTGCTGGCTGGATTACTCATACCAAGCAAATAAAAGATAATCGAACAAAGCATACGAAACAAATAGATTAGTTACCCGTTGATACATGCGAGAGCAATGTTACGTGACGCGAGTATAACCCAGTTCCCGAAACGCGGATCACATTCAAAACAAAGAAAGCTTCGTTAGGCGACATCACTGACAAAGCGAAATTTGAAACGGCGCAAAAAGTATACGCTAACAAGCGGGCATAGTCGTCAACCGGCCCGCCGAATAAATACAATTCAGTTCTTGTCCCCACTGGAAAGTGGATTCTCTTGGTGGGTCTTAACGAGTTATCTTGTTCTTGCTTCATCTCGTTCCGTTCGCTCTGAGGAGTCGCTCCGTTCTTGTGCCGCGATACAGAGCACTTTACTCTTATTGAGTAAGTTTTATGTTTTTTCGCTTAATATTGTTTTTAGGGCTCCGTAGCCAATTTAAAATTAATATACTAATTTCTTTATTTGCCTGTAAATAGGTACAGAACTATTTTGGTCTTGTTGTCGTCACAATGTCGAGCTATAACCTAGTTAACTGTTTTTAACGGCATGCAAATGTCCAAAAGATATATTCATGATACGGTTAATTCTATTTTTTTTTTACAAATAACTAAAAACGTCGTTAAACATTTTTAAAGATATATTTATTAATGCATCGATTTTTACAAAAAAAGGGACCACATTTAGTCACTACAATCGAAAAACTCATTTATGGTCTAAAATGATTCCTCTAACAGCCATCGTCATAATGAAACTTTAAACTTATTATATGATAATTGTTTTATATGTGAGGGTATCTTGTTATAAATAGTAAAAAATGGCAAAGGGTAATTTCACATAAAATGTATTTCTGTTACCCCTATAAAGAAAAAAGCAAAAAAATATATATAAGTGGGGCTCCCATACAACAGACAAGATTTTTTACAGTTTTTATAGATAATGGAACCCGGTCCGTGCGCGAGTCCGACTTACAGTTGGTTTTCCATTTGTTTAATATAAGAAGGATTTTTTTATGTGAAAAGTTGTCAAGCGAGCAGACGGTTTACCTGATGTTAAGTGAATACCGCCGCCCATGGAAATCCGCTACACCCGAGGGTTGCAGATGCGTTGACAACCTTTCGAAAATTGGGCTCCGGCTACCTCACTCACCAGACGAAACGCGAAAGTATAATACTTCCACTTTACGCCGGTCTTCTGTGAGGTCGTGGTATTTACCCGGACGAGCCTGCCCATTCGTGCAACAGCCGAGGCTGCTGCGTGGCCGTACCACCGTCAAAAGGTTGCAAGCGAACTGGCGGTTCATCCGCTATTAAGTGATAACCGTCGCCCATGGACATTTGCAACACCGTAGGGTTGCAGATGCGTTGCCACCCTTTAATAAAATGGGCCCCGGCTATCCCACTCACCATCGAAACGCAGGAGTATAGTACTTCCACTACACGCCGGTCTTCTGTGTGATCGTGGTACTCATGCCCGGTCACTATTCCATATTCGTTCAACAGCGAAGACTGTTGCGTAGCCCTACCACGTGTGCATATATTACTGCCTCGTGTCTATGTCTCGATTTACAGCTACAAGTTAAAAAAATAACGACAACAAAACTACTTGTCAAGTTTTGAGTGGAACATGAGCATGCTACTCGACCCCTGTGGTAATGTTGTAACGTTAGGATCAAAAGCATGACACCGTTTCTTTAAAATAAAGGTACATTGACATGTGAAAAACACAACAATGATAAAAAAATGGCAATAGATTCAAAATACAATAACATGAAACAAACAGATGAATATTAGTTGAATTCAGAAGCGTCATAGAAAGTTTGCAAAATTTTCTAAGGCACGGTTAGTTATTTCCGTGTCTAACCGGCTCTCCTGAACACCGAAATTGAATTTTATTTCACGTTGCGAGTTGACTTCTTAAAAGCGATAACGTGCCAAAACTGTGCAATTTTTGCACCGTTTCAGATTTAACCTGGCTACGACATAAAGATCGTGCGAACATTTATTCTCGTAATTTATCATCTCAGCGAAATGCACCAGGGTTTCAAGTAAGTCTTGTTTGTAAATCATTTGTTTACTCAAAACATTGACAAGAATATTAATTCTTAAATCTGTCCGATATAATTACGATGTAAAAAAGAACACAAATCAATTGAACAAAACGTATTCATAAATAAAACACCAAAGTTGACTCGCACGGTTTATTTATTAGGACTAGGTGAAAAAAGCCAGATCCTATAATCTTCCTGACGAAACACAAAGTAGAAATAATATTTCTTAAAGCAAGTGTGATGCTTGTAGCAACGACCAGAAGTCGTTGCTACAAGCATCGCTGGACTATCGAATCACTATAAAAAGTAAAGTAACAGCCTATACATATCCCACTGGTGGGCAAAGGCCTCCTCTTTTACAGAGGGTATCAGGCCATAGT